TGCTTACTTCAAGGTCAGCAGGCACATACCCTAAACGCTGAACCCCTGAACCCCTGAACCTGAAACCCTCGACCCTCGACCCTCAACCTTAAACCCTAAACCCCGAAGCCCTAAACCCTAAACCCCTAGATCCCCAAACCCTCGACCCTCAACCCTACAGCTTCTCAATCTTTGCTTCGACAAGCTGCTGAGACCCTTCCGGAAGATGCAAATCCCGGGCCCATACTGTCGATGATATAAATCCGCGGCTTAGGGTTTAGGGTTGAGGGTTTAAGTTCCTGATTATGGGTAATGCAAGATTTATATCATCAACCGTACTTAGATCCTAAGCTCCAGCCCTAGTCCTTGCAGGCCCACGCCTAAACGCACAGCCCCAAAACCTAAGGACCCATACACAAACCTTAAACCATGAAGATGCATCCCTCAACCCTGAACCCATACCTAAACTCTAAACCACTAAGCCCCTAAACCCATACCAAAACTATAAACCCAAACCCCAAACCAAGGCTCCTGCGAAACTCTGATCCATACATAAACCCTATATCCTAAAGATCCATAGCTAAACCGGAACTCATCCATAAGTTACTCGAAACCCCAAACCTAGGCTCCTGCGAAACTACGATGCTGTGGTGGTCGCCGTGGGAAGCCGCTGGGAGACCTTGCTGCGCGGAAGGGTCCAGGCCAGCACCCACATTGGACCCTGAAACTGCAGCGGCTTTAGGTTTAGGGTTAATGGGATTCAGTAAGGGCTTCTATGCGCTTTAAGGGGGTTGAGGGTTAATTCTAGAGCCCTCCTCAAAGGCTCAGGGGCTTAGAAAGTAAGGTTATAAGTTATAAGTACCTTTCAATTAGGCAAATAAGTAATTCCAAGTATAGTTGCTTCATTTGTAACCCTAGTTACAAAAGCCCATGATCCTTTAGGTACCTCAACAGGTGGAGACCCTACTTTTTGCAGATTCCCTAATTACAAAAACCCATGACCCTTTAAGCGTTGCAACCCGCCAGAACCTACTTTTTGTAAGTCCCTATAAATGCCATATTAGTTATTAGGGCTAGTACTACGAACCTACCAGAAGGTAGGGCTTGGTAGGTGAAGGTAAACCCTAAACTCTGAAGCCAGATTTCGGGCCAGAAGCACCTCGAACCCGAAACAAGACCCAGACCTTAAGCCCGAAACCCAGATTTCGGGCAAAAATGCTTGAACCCGAAACCCAAATTGTACAGAATGCTCTTCGGACTGCTCTGGCATGGCCTCAAAGGAAGACTCGAGCGTGAATCTAAAGGCTTTGGGATTCGGGATTGGAGGGTGCGTTTAGGGTTTAGGGTTCAGGGTTTTTATTATGGCCGAGGGTTTAGGGTTCAGCTTAGGGTTTAAAGCTTCATGGTTTTGGGCAGAGGGTTGAGGGATTCAAGGTCCCCGGGCCTTTTGGGTACAGGTCTAAGCACGCGAGGTGACCCTAAACCCTAAACCCTAAACCCTAAACCCTAAACCCTAAACCCTAAACCCTAAACCCTAAACCCTAAACCCTAAACCCTAAACCCTAAACCCTAGGGTTCTGAGTCGAGAGACGCCCAGGCGCCCTTAAGGGACTTCGAAGTTGCACGAAGGTGAACCCGGCCCTTAAAGGAACCCTTAAAGGCTCCCTTAAAGGAACCCTTAAAGGCTCCCTTAAAAGGAACCCTTAAAGGCTCCCTTAAAAGGAACCCTTAAAGGCTCCCTTAAAAGGAACCCTTAAAGGCTCCCTTAAAAGGAACCCGTAAAGGCTCCCTCAAAGGAATCCCTAAATGAAGCTCTTTAAAGGAACGAATGGCCGGAACTTCGGACCCCAACTCTTGTTTCCTGCACCGGGAGATCCCCAAAAGCCCCAAAGCCCTAAACATCCCGAAGCCGTACGCCCAAAGCCCGAAACCCGACACCCAAACCCCAGCGCCAAGCCTTTAGGCCGTGCAGTTATCCGGCACCTCGCCCCATGGGATGCCCGGGTGAGCTTGTACGCGAGGGTGCTTTCTGTTGCTGTTCGAGTGTTAAGATCGCGAGTTTGGCTTGGTTTGCTCGGGCCCCAAACCCTGAACCCCTAAGCCCTAAACCGCTAAACCACGGGTAGGGTTTGGGGCTTTGGGGCTTCGGGGCTTTGGAGCTTTGGGTTGAATTTAGGAAAAGGGCTTATGGAGAAGTATCCGTGGCTCTGAGGGAATCACTCAGGACGAGAGTTCGGGATTCGCGCTTTAGGGCTGTAGGGCTTAAGGGCTTTGTGGCTTTGGAGTAGGGTTTTAGTGTTTTCGGGTTTGGGGTTTGTTTCGGGTTGAGGTTTAGGAGGAGGATTTCCAGAGTTGAAAACTTTGCCGAATCGTTTCGCTTCTTTTACTGCTGTCTCCGAGTACTTCTGGTGACAGAGAATCAGGTAGCAATGAAGCTGCATTACCTTAGCACTGCACCCCTGTCGTACAGGATCTGTCTTTGTCTCTCAACCCTAAACCCTAAACCCTACACCCTAAACCCTAAGCCCTGGACCTGAAGACCCCGGGTTCCGAGCTCCCTCTGCACCTTCGCAGTCTTCGGGTTTAGGGTTTGGAGGTTTCTTCTCCATAGCTATCCCCCCAAGGCTTCGAACGAAGACTCTAAACCTTTTCGATTCTTACAGACTCGGAACCCTTCTGAACTTGTCTCCATGGAGAGGGCTGCTGTATAAAGTAAGCCTTATAAACTCTGAGGCAAAGACTGGTGCACAAAGCTCGGCTTGCGCGCCCGACGCTTGGTTGTGGCTGCGCTGGAGGGAGCAGCCCTGGACTACGGGGAGCTGCTGCAGGTGCGGTGGCAGATTTTCGGAGACGAAGGACTATATCGGGGATTGGTGGGATAGGCGGCCATTAGAGCCTTTGGAGGGATTAGGACTTTCAGGATGTGGGGGTTTAGGGTTTGACCACCCTTGCTCCAAACGCTTGCTGCTGCCCTGAACCCTAAACCGTAAACAAACCCAAAGCCCAAAGCCCTATAAACCCTAAACCTTAAACCCTAGACTCTAAACCCAAAGCCCTAAACCCTAAACCTTCAACCCTAAACCCTAAGCATACAGCTCTCCTCACAAGAGGATTCTTGAGCTCAGACTTTGAGCAGACGGAAAAGGGCCCTTAAAAAAACCTTAAGCCCTAAACCGCAGTGAGGTTTGGGACACAGGACTCCGCATCGAATAAGCTCGAGTATGTCAGACCAAATGGGAACGTGTCACCTTTCCACAGCCCCAAACTCTGCCGCGTAGTGTAGGGGCCTACATAATTACCAATACTGTTTTGGGGGCACCTTATATTTCTTATAATTATAGTAAATATACCCCCAAACCCTATTGTAATTATTAAGGCCCCTATATCAATGGGTTAACTGGAGCCACATGCTGTTCTTAGGGTTTAGGGTTTTGGGACAGAAGCAATGAAATGTCACAGGCCTTCGGCGAACAAGACCCCGATGCCTGCTCCCTGAAACCTGGGTCCTAAACCCTAATCGGCACCCCCGAATCACAACCCAGGACACAGAGTGCATCACCCCTGCAAAGCCGTGCAAGCCCGTGGTGAGCAGTCCCCAACCCTCAAACACCATACACAACCCTTATACAACCCAGTAAAGCCCCATAACACCACAAACCCTAAACCCTAAGCCCTAGACCCTAAACCCTAAACCTTAAACCCTAAGCCCTAGACCCTACACCCCAAACCGTAAACCCGAAGCCCTGGACCCTACACCCTAAACCCTAAACTTCGCGAAACCTCTTTGTTCAGCCCTGAGTCCCCGAGTCCCGGAAAGAAGTGCCCAGGCCCAACTCACTCTCACGGGTTTCAGTTTAGGGCTTTGAAGTTTAAAGAGTTAAGGGTTTTTACGGGTCTAGGGGTCTAGGATTTAGGGTTCCCTAAACCCTAAACCCTAAGCTCTAAGCGTTTGGTCCCTAAACCCTAAACCCTAAACCCTAAACCCTAAACCTCTCCCTTACATAGAAACTTAAACCTTAATGCTCTTACGTTGGATTTGCCTCTAAACCTGAATGGTCTTACGTTGGATTTGCCTCTAAACCTTAATGGCCTTACGTTGGGTTTGCCCGTTTTCCGTTTTTTTCTGCCTCTAAACCTTAATGGCCTTACGTTGGATTTGCCCTTTTTCCGTTTTTTCTGCCTCTAAACCTTAATGGCCTTACGTTGGATTTGCCCTTTTTCCG